TCGATCGAAGTCACATACGTACCATCGATGAACAGTCAATCATATTAAACATACGAAAGTTATATATTCAGAGCTTGATCCTAGATAGATACAAATTAGATATCTTTACCAATTAAATTTATATTCTATGATTGAAAATCCCTTAGTGTTCTATCTATTATGATTCAATACCTGAAAACCTAGATTTAGCTATTTTCCTTATTTGCTTTCAATCCAACTATTTCCTTATTACTTGCTTTTATTATAAGGAAGGGACATGAAAAATCGCCATTTTCAAGGCTTTCTTGGAGGTGGTTTCCAAGGAAAAATACCTACTTTGATAGTTCATTTTTCCTCGTACTTTTATATTTCTCCGTCATAGCTCAACCTATTGACTTTGAGAACATTGAACGCAATCCAAGTGTTGTGGGAGTTTCACAGCATACCCTTCAACATACACAAGATATTGTACTCGTACTACTTCAATCGTTTGGCTAACAAGAAGGGGGTTTATCATATTCATTCCCACGATGGCCAGCCGATTGGTGAGGAGACATTGGTAAGGGGTACATCCTTTGGTAGATCTTGGTACATGAGGTATATATTCATGAAGATCGTCGCATCCCCGATCCTGGGTAGGATCGCTGGGATGGACCATGGTGCAATGAGATGCACTATTCAGAGGTCCTATGACCTAAATACATGCATATCATGGTCCACAAACGTGGTTAAGTGCATCGGGACCTGAGACTTAGCCAGATAGGGAAGGAAAGGGAGTAAAAGGAGCTACGCGAGTAAAGGAATATCTGGACGAGGCATAGGGACAACTCGATCTAGCTTGGGTAAGCTCAACCCAGCTCGGTCTAGATACACACTCACTGGTCAGCTCACACCAGCTGAATTATCATGTTCCCGTTCCAGGAATTTGATATAAGACTTAAATGTTTGATAGAAACGAGACTGCTTTGGTTCAGCTCATGAGAATTGATCGTGAACAAGCTGTGATGAAGTGAATGATCAGAATCGATCATGGTAAAGCTTAATCTAGGTCAAGGAAGGGACCAAAGGACATAGACAGAGAATAAGATGAAGATACCAATGTCAACCAGTTACTTATGAGACATGTTTGCTCAGCTGAAGATGGAGATGATATAGATTCAGAGTTAGCAGATGTGAATTACATTGGAGGAACTGGATTTCAGAGGTCTGGAAATCATTTTGGCAACAGGAACTTCAGTGGTAATGGTCGGAGGAGTAACTTCAACCATAATTCACAATACCAAAAACCCTACAGCAGCTACAGCAACAACAAAGGCTATGAAAATTCATTCTACCATAATCCACCACAACAGACTTAGGAGAGCAAGATTGAAGCTATGCTTGATCAGGTTCTTGAAGGACATCAAAGGCTAACAGTGGATTTCAATGGGAACATGGATTTCATCTACAAAGATCTGGACGCCAAGATTGAGACTTTGGGTACTCAGGTAAGGAAGCTTGAGACTCAGGTGGTTCAGACTGGAGAAGCTCTTAGGAAGAAAGAAGGGGATGAAGCAATGAAACACCACGTCAAGGCCATAATGGATGATGATTTCTAGTTACTTGGTCTGTGGGGATGACTGGTTGAATGAATTAAGTGCCATGGGAGTTGTTTATGCAGGTACAAGGCTGCGGACCAAACAAAGGAATTGACCAAGCCGTGTACTCAGCCGAACGTGTGGTCACTGCGGGTCATGGGTGGTCTAGTTTGTGGTTAATGTGTATTGCAGTTGTACTTGGGATGGTACCAAGTTGGCCATGTAATATACATGATATATGATAGAGGTTTAAGTGTTTAGACTTAGGAACCGAACCATGTTTTGCTAGATCATTGTTAGGATATCGGTTTATATCTTAATACTTGATATGTGGTTTCATGAACTGAGGCTGATCGTGATCAAGCCAAGGTGCCATGAAGACTCAGTCAGCGAGAAGTTTTGTGGTGTTTGGGTAGGCCATACTAGGGATGAACTTATGATAGCTTATGATGCAACTCGATACTTTGTAAACGAATCACAATTCTTTTATTGATACAATCTATTTACCTTTTTGTTTTTTGTTTTTTTTTTGACATCAAACGGCTGATCAATTACTCAAGCTTGAGGTGGTCTGGGAATCCAGACCAGAATAGAACAACCTACATACACCAAGTCTCGATAAAAGGATCGAGCAGTCTTAGCTAGTGAATCAGAAAAACCATTCTGTGTCCTAGGCACATAGACAATTTCAAACTTGGGAAAGCAAATTTGCAAGGTAGCGATCTTCTCCAGTTCCGTTGAGAAACTTGGCCAATCCTGTGGGTTCTTAGCATTGATATCATTTCCTTACAATCCGTCCCAAAGCTCTGACATGGCGAATGTTGAAGCATGTTCTCCATTGCCCACCGCAGTGCTTCCAGCTCAGAATGCAAAGCAGACTCCACTCTTTCAAAGTTATGCAATCCCATCAGCTGACCATTCCCCATACTATCCTGCCATACCCATCCACATCCGCTATACTGGGCTGTGGAGGTCCACGAACCATCCACCAGACAAATACTCCCCAGACTTATGGTCTGGTTGTCGTCATTCGTATCGATTTGAGAGGGAAAGGACGGCTGCTCATTAGCTTGATACCAGGCAAGGCATTCACTCTCTGCATATCGTGCTGTCTTCAATGGGTCTCTATCAATCCCTTTAAACAATTTATCATTATGTGCCTTCCAAATATACCAAATTAGCCATGGATAAGGATCCATGTCTACTGCCGGTCCCCCTATGGCATTCTTCCTCCAAAAAGATAGTCCATATTTGCATATGTGCTCTGTAATGGGAATAAAGTAGGGCTAGTAGGTAGTGACGATAATGCCCAGGCTTGCTTTGCAGGAGGGCACAAGAATATGGCGTGTGTGATCGATTCCTCCGGTTCTCCACACCGAGGACAGTAATTATCACACCGCATATGTCTATAATTTAAAATGCTCGTAACAGCCACCTGACTTGTAATTATCTGCCACATAAGATGGCACATCTTTTGTGGAGCCCGCACCTTCCAAACTTGTGCTTGCAATTTAGTAATACTAGGTTCACTAACTATATGCATTTCTTCTCGTTTTAAAATATTCCGCGCCACCCAATATCCAGACTTGACTGTATATTGTTCATTCCTTGTATAACTCCAGCAGAATGTATCTCTCTGATGTGTCGAACTAATGGACATACTCTTTATGAGAGGTATATCAACCGCATTGACGTATTGTTCTAGTCTTGTCGTATCCCAGGTCTTTGTCTCTTGATTAATAAGATCACTTACTCTCATGTTTGGGTGCAAAACCGGTACAGATGGGGTTGCCGGTCTCGCAGGTATAGTAGGAATCCAAGGATTGGACAAGAGGTTAGACAAGAAATTAAAGATACCCTTGGCATTCAGAATGAAGGAGGAATGGGAACTTATCTAGGAATTCCAGAGGATATCAGTGGGTCCAAATGCAAGCTCTTTGCGTTTCTAAAGGACAAGCTAAGGAACATGGTTAATGGGTGGACAGGAAGGTGGCTATCAAAAGGTGGAAAGGAGGTTATGATCAAGTCGATCCTATTGGCTTTACCAACTTATGTTATGTCCTGTTTTCTTTTGCCTCTAGAAATATGTGATGCCCTAGCTAGTGCCATTGCACAGTTCTGGTGGAGTTCTAATCCCCCAAAAAGGGGTATCCATTGGTCCACTTGGGATAAATTATGTTTTCCAAAGGAGGAAGGTGGGATCGGCTTCAGGTTGATTCACGAATTTAACTTGGCATTGCTGGCAAAACAATTATGGAGACTGAGTCAATATCCGGATTCGTTGATTGCTCGTGTACTGAGGGGCCGGTATTATCGTTCAAGCTCGCCTTTGCGTAAGCTTTCTACTAGCAACCCATCATATGTGTGGACAAGTATCTCGGTATCACAAGAATTACTGCTGTTGGGTATAAGATAGAAGATTCATTCGGGGTATGAGGTGAAAGTATGGGAGGATCCTTGGATTTACGTTTTTGTTTATGCTTACTATTTGAATTGTTTATATACATATATACAATGAAAATGACTGAGTAAAATATACAAGACTAAAAAAATGAATCAAATATAATGTAATGGGCTAAGTGTGAGGCCGCGGATCTAAGGAAGTATTGAACCTCATGAATGAGTCTTGTAATTTTGATCTTTCAATAGATAAGTTTACGTTGTAATTAAAAAGAAGTATTTTGATTTTTTGAGTTAATTTAACATTTATTCAAAAAAAAAAATTACTATTTACGGAGTTATTTTTTACAGGATTACCAATTACTTTAACAATATCCTTCTACTGGGATCTTCTTGAAGTCTTTTGAACTCTTTTGAACTCTTTTAAATTCTCTTGAACTCTCTTAAACTCTTTTAAACTATTTTTTCTTGTACTTATCACTTCATATCAACACGTATAAGTGGTAAACTTATATATCCAAATGTGTTTAACACCCAAGATTTTTGTTCAAAACTATTATTTAATTGTCATGTATTCATGGAACTAAATTATATTTTCTGCCTAAGTGAGAAAAAAAACGCGATAGTAAATCACTACAATTAAGATGAGATTACACATGAAGCATATACTTAGATGAGATTAGCCTAATCGAGATGCCGGGAAAGTTCTATTTCTCAAATATCAGAATGTACAACGAAACAGTGATCCAAATCATGTGGTGCAATACAAACAATGGATGTTTACAACAAATATAGAAGAAGAACTCTATGAAACCATGTGCAAGTAAAACACACAGTATACAAACAACGGATGGTTAAACTCAAGGGACGACACAAAACAAATGTGGACATCAAACATGCACGTCAGTCCCCTTATCCTCTCACGTGTATATATATACTAGCGCGCGCACACACACACACTCACAGTCTTTATATAAAGTGCTTTCTGAACAATCTTAACTTCTAAAATAATTTGGTTAAATATTTACCTATTTTGTTGGGTCCATGGAAGGCCCTTCTAGATGGTTGAAAAAAGGTGCATGGACTGCTGAAGAAGATGCTCTCTTGCGACAATGTATTGATAAGTATGGAGAAGGCAAATGGAACAAAATTCCCTTAAGAGCTGGTATGCGTTTCTTGTTTTACATTATATATTACATGAAAACATATACTTCAATTAATCACGTTTTTCAATTTATAACTTATATTCTAACTTCTCTGCACTTAAACAAGTTGAAAATAGAAACTTAATCTAGAGGTGCATGCCCATTAATTTCTTCCTCCTTTAAGGTATGAGACAATGAAACCCTGTCTGCTGTCCATATAAATCGTGAACTTATATATCCAAGATTGTTTAACACCCAAGATTTTTTTTTAAAACTATTATTTGATTGTTATGTTTTAATGGAAACTAAATTTTCTACCTAAGTGGGGAAAAAAACGCGGTAGTAAATCACTACAACTAAGTTGTGTATATTTACGCATGAAGCATACTTAATAGAGTTTATCTCCATTGTTTGCTATGCTAGGGCTAAAGCGATGCAGGAAGAGCTGTAGACTAAGATAGCTAAACTACTTAAAGCCAAGTATCAAAAAAGGAAAATTTAGCATTGATGAAGTTGATCTTCTTCTTCGCCTTCATAAGCTTCTAGGAAACAGGTTTATATTCCTCCATACAAATCCAATTTTGTACCTAGTGTCATGATCCAGTACGAACTCATGTCACAATCGTATAAATGCATGGATAGGTGGGCCTTGATTGCTGGTAGATTGCCTGGTCGTACCCCTAATGATGTTAAGAATTACTGGAACACCAATTTGTGTAAGAAGCAAGAACCGTGTTGCAAGAGCAAAGTGAGCAACATAGCTATTACTTGTTCAAATACCACAGTGTCCCAGAAGATCGATGTTTTAAAGCCTTCACCTCGATCCTTCCCCATTAATATTGTTAACGGCTGCAGCGGGCTTAATGCCCTGCCAATGAATGACCTTGGCGAAGTAGCCAACAATGATGAGGAGAAAGATAAGTTTGTGAACGATCTAATTGTTGGAGAGGGTATGTGGTGGGACAGCTTGCTGGAAGAGAGCCCAATGACAGATATTATGGGTCCCAAATATCCGGCAACCGAACAGGGGGAAGCCTCCACGGACAGTTCTTTGTTCCACTCGATTTCGTTTACGTTTGATATTGACGAACTTTGGAGTATGTTGGATATAGATACTGGAGAGACTGTTTAGGTTTTTTCTCAATGATTATGTCAGGTTACAGATTGAAATCCGAACTAATGTATAATCTTGTAGCCGGTGTGTGACTCCAACAAAGGTAAAAGAGAGGATACAGATTCGGTATTTCAATTGTTTTGTCTGTTTTATTTTTTAGTTTGCTGTGTTATGTGCTGTTTAAGGTTTTACGTGTAGTCATCTCCGCCCCCGGAGTAACACTCTTGTTACGTTCTTAATTTTTACAAATAAAATATTCCTTCAACTATATTTTAAAGTGAAACCTAATTTAGTCATCTACATCTCAGAAATATGCCCTCCAAAAGAATAAACTTTCTTATTTACTAGGAAAATCAATAAAAATCGAATGAAGAAGGAAACAATGTGTTCACACATGCCACTCTTGGTTTATAAAAAAAGCTCCTTGCATATTTGAAAAATATCCTGTGATAACTTTAATTAGAGTCCCTAAAATTAAATTAAAAATATTCTTAAGAAAATCTGAATAATAGAATAATCGTTCGATCACTACAAGAAAATAGGGCTTATTTCGAGGAACATTCCGACGGCCATACAATTCCTCGGAAAATTCCGATGGAATTCCGACGAAACACAAATTTTATGTTTCCTCGGAATTCCGTCGGAATATTCCGACGACATACCGAGGAACCCATATTCCGTTGGGATAAACCGAGGACATTCCGAGGATAAATTATAGCCGTTGACGAGCCGTTGGAAAAGTTCGAAAATTCCGAGGATTTTACATTTTCCTCGGAATTTCATCGGAATATTCCGACGGAATTCCGAGGGATATTTATGACCGTTGTATATTCCGACGAAATTCCGACGGATATTTCTAACCGTTGTATATTCCGACGAAATTCCGACGGAATACTAATTTTCCGTCGGAATTTCGTCGGAATCGTCGGCAGAATTTCATCTATAAATACAAGCACCCCTCCTCTCCTTTCATTCACTCAATATTCTCATCCTCTCACTTATACACACGAATCTGGTTCACAAAAACATGTCTTCTTGAAATTATTATCGTTCGTGGATGGATCGACCTCATTTGGATCCCGACACGAAATTACTTACGGAAGAATACCTTAAAGGCATTAGGGAATTCATGGCGGTAGTTCAACGACAACCGGAAGCAAAAACGGGTATGTTAAGATGTCCTTGCTCTACTTGTAAAAATAGAAAGGTTATAAAAGAGTGGGATGTTTGGACTCAT